CCAGCACGGCGGCGAGGCGCCGGTCGAGCGCGCGCAGGTGGGGCTCGGCGAGCACGGGCGCCAGGCGGTCGGCGGCCAGCGCCTCGCGCAGCACGTCGCTCAGCCGGTAYGGCTCCGTGGCCAGCAGCCGCAGGCGCAGGTAGGTCGACTTCTTCATCCTGGTGAAGGCGAGGAGAGGCGAGGAGGCGCCTCGGCCGGGCGGAGGGGCGGCCTTTCCCGGCCCGCGCGCGGCCCGGGAGGCTCCTACCTGCAGCACTGCTGGAGCGGGGCCAGGATGGACATCTCATCGTGCGAGTGGGTGCCAAAGCTGCGGGAGAGAAACGCGCCCGCGGGCATCGGCGCCTGCAGGGACCTGGCCCCGCAGCCACGCGCAGGGCTTGTCCTTGCAGCTCGAGACCCGCAGCCGCCCCCCGGCCCGGCTTTGTCCTCCCCGTGGGGTCCCCATGGGGCCCGCCGGCTTTACCCTCGGCCATTGTCCAGGTGCAGCAGGAAGGTGTCGTTGCCAAACTTCTCGAAGGTCTCGTAGTGGTGCCGGTCCATGTTGCCTGCAGCGGGGACAGGAGGTGGCCGTAGGGAGAGGGCAAAGGCAGCGGGGCCACATGCACCGGCAAAGGCACCAGAGCACCCTGCCCAACTCCAGGAAGGGGACAGGCACCGAGAGCACCCTGGGGTGCACACGTGGCCCCATGCAAGGCCTACGCTCTGGGACGGGCACACGGGTGCAGAGCAGCCTGTTGTCACGGCCTGAGCCCTGCAGGTCTCCTTCCTCGCCAAGGGCCAGCACGGGCAGGTTTCTCACACCTCAGGACTGACCCTTGCTCCGAGCTGACCTCCTGCTCCCTCCCTCCAGGCTCAGCCCTGCAGCCCTCCCGCAGATGTTTGTCTCTTCCCATACACTGAACTTCTTGTCCCTCTCCAACCATGTGTGTCCTCGTCCTGCTGTGGGACAAGGTGGTGTCTGCCAGGACAAATAGGTCCCCACCCACCTCCTTCCTTGCTGTGGACCTGTTTGTCCTGGCAGGCACCAACAGCACCATTTCTGAGGGTGCAAAAAGGTGGCCCCTTCCTCCTCTGATGCTCTCAGCAGCCACGAGTTTGTGCCATCTAATGGAGTTGTCATCTCTGCTGCATCAGACACCCGCAGCTGGGCTCATCACCCTGACATCCCGCTGCTCAGCCAGAGGCCTTGAAACACTAAAATGCTGTTGTAGCAACACCGATCTGGCTGGGAATGTCCTCAGCTCTAAAACCAGCTGCCAACAACGAGCTACCCAGAGCGACAAACCTGGTAACCCGTTCAGCATCAGCAGCTTGCCTGTTTTGTTACCCCAAAGTAAGCGGSACTTTTAGAGCAGTTTTATTGTCTATGCAGGAAAAACGTCCATGTGAGGAGGTTCTGCAACTGAGCCGTGTCAGATGTGGCTGCTCCACATGCCCGATGGACCTGGTGTACTGCAGCACACATCTGCCGTATAAACCTGCCCAAAGAGCAGGCAATTAAGCCGGCATTAAGGCCCTTTTTTCCCCTTGATCTAACAATGGCCACCCTGGAGCTTGCAGCTGCTCAGCAGTTCTGAGGAGGCGATTGCTTCGTGTCTGGGTCTGGAAAAGCTGCGATTTACCAGTAAATGAGCTGGAAGGCCTGAATGAAGCCAGTGCACGAGGCTGAAGCAAATCCCATGATCAGTGCCTGGCCACACACAGGAACCTAACTCACATCTGGCCATGGCAGCGTGCCTGGGCATTCSCTTAATTGTCTCAAGGGTTATGGCGAAGGTTAGAGGAAAGATGTAAGGAGGACTTGATGCTGAGGCACCTGTGAGAAGTTACCTCAAGACACTGCCAAGTGCAGTCTCATGAAAGCGAACAACGGCATTTGAAAATGTTTTTTTTCTGGGGAAAGGACATTTGACAGGATGGCTGCAGCTCCRCAGGGCTCATTGGGAAAGGATTTGCATGCTTGCTAGGAAAGTTTGCC